GCTTGGGAAAGGTTGAACGAGGTGAACTGGATCACACACACCATTTGCTCATCCCGGGCAAGTGGCGTAGGAAGGTACACTGCATCTCTCTCTCTCTCTCTCTCCCCCCCTTCCCCCCCCCCCCCGCTCTCCCTAGCAGCCTCAGCTTCTGCCACCTCAGCAACTACTAAATAGACCAATTAGCTAAGGCTTCCTGCCATTATCTAACATGGATTTGGACATTAGTGTGCTACTATTCAGCCATAATTTCGAGTCGGAATGTACTAAAAAATTCACACACTGAAGCATTAAAATGTCCCCAAGCAACATGTGTGGCAGTGTATTTGTGCCGCTTCCCTGGATTTCTACCCCCCAACCTCCACCAGCATCCTGTAGGTCAGTAGTCACAGCCCAGGGTGGGGTGGGGGCAGCCTTGTGTAGCAGGGTTGTGTTGTTTCACCCGTGTTTGTGTGCATTGTTCCCCTGGGGTGACGGCTGCCAGTGGCAGGCACTGGGACCCTCTCCTCCTCCCGCTGGTGTGGGGGCTCCATGAAGAACAAGGGGGAGCCTTTCCCAAAATGAGCATGTTTGATGCCTGAACACATTTTTGCACAAGCCACTGTGTCCTCAGTCTGAAAATGCAGGTTTCCTCAGGGAAGACCCACAATGCATTGAGGGTCAGAAGCCAGGGCTTTGTGTAGTAGCCTTTACCAGCCGGGGTGCGAGTGTATTTTATCTTCCTTGTTCCTGCCAACAGAAGGAAGCGGAGGGCCCTGCACGAGCCTGCAATGCAATACCATGGAAGCAAAAGCTTGCAGCAAAAATACCGGATTCTCAGAGGCGAGTTTCGTTTCTGTTGCAGGCTGCTCCCCAGCAGGACTAACGGAGCTCACGGGAGTCTCCCTTCCCCTCTCGGGTTTTGTGTCTCTTTATGGCCAGGGTAGGTGCTTCGAATTCATACCACAAAAGGGCTTGGAAGCCCTTCTGGATTCCCTGAGTTAGAAGAAACCTGGGAGCCGGCAGCTGAGTCCCGCCCGGGCTGCCACCCGGCCAGTCCTCTCCCTTTGATGTCCATAGAGATGGGGCGGGGGCGCACATACAGAAGATATTTTGGTGTCTGGAGTAAATTTCCAAAAACTAGAAGGTCCATGTGGGTTGCTAAGTTTTCGCTTTCAGGAGTCTATGGATCTCACCAAGGCAGGTGGTTTGCAGCTGGAGCCGGGCCACCTAAAAAAGGACAGACCAATGACCCGGGAGCAGCCTGGAAGGGTGTGGGCTCTCCTTCCGGTTCAGCCTGGGCAGCGGCGGCCATGTGGACAAGGTCAGGGGTGAGGGCATCCTCTAAAAAGGTGCTGGGATGCACAGGAAGAGGTCAAGGAGGAGGGCCAGCGGAGAGAAAGCACCCAGCAGGTGGCAGCCACGCCCTACCTAGGGTGTGAACCTCGGGGTCACTAGCTCCCAAGTCCCACCCTTTCCAGATTGATTTAAAGGCTGAGTTGGGGAGGGAGAGGAGGACTGGTGGGGGGGGGTGGACTGATCAAAGCACAGCACTGACAACTTGATACCACTGGCCCTGGGGGCTCGGCAGGGGCTGGGTCGGCCCGGGTGGGGGAATCCACTGCTGCACTCACCCTCAGGCGACTCCCGAGCCCCAGCTACCCACAGAAGGAGGCTGGAGAATTTCCCACCCCGTTCCGGCGCTCACCTCTGCCTCCTGTTCCAGGACATCACTGCACTAATTCCAGAGCTTGGGGCAAGCCTCATGGCCACCTAGGGCTTCGGACCTGACCTCTGGCCAGTTACCTGAAGACAAACCTTGAAAGATTAGGTTGAAGCTGAATTGAGTTAATCCTCACGGATTTGCAACCGGAAGAGCCCTTCTGAACAGAGGTCCTGGGTTTGCTTGCCCTGTTCTCCAGCAACCCAATGCCTTGCACGTTTTTATTATCGGTCTGCTGCCTTTTACAGGGGAGAAAGCAATCTACTTCTAAACATGATAAATAAATGAACGATGCCCGCCTTCCATCTTGCGAATATGTGAATACATAGTTTTTGCTCCACATCCTCACAAGTCCCCAACTTCACAGATAATTCCATGCGCAAATAGATATGCATCACAGCAGGTTTTTATTTTGCAGTTACTTATGTAAGTCACCCATCTCCTTGCAGGATAGGTCGTGGGAGGAAAGGCAACTTCATACAGTATTTACTAACTTAACACAAGACCCAAGGAAATGAAAATACCTTGTACCAGGCAGGGAGGGGCCTCGCTGGCAGCCAGCTGCGTAAAGGTGCACGGCGAATTCTCCCTGCTCTCTCAAGGAGTCACCTGGGGGTCTGGGGTAGGGAGTACCTCTCAGACCAGACCTTTGATCTCACATTGCGGTCTTTCCCAAGACCCCAAGCCCAGCTCCCGGCGACCCCAAAGCCAGCTGCGCTAGGTCAATACAGATAGGGAACAGGAAGAGACTCAGCATGCTGGCTTCACACGTCGTAAACCACACAAAGATCCCAACTTCCCGGAGAGCTCCCTCTCCCCTCCCCTCCACCTGCTTCCTTCTACAACTTTGCAGGGAACCCCCCCCATTCTGATGAACTTATTATTAAATATAGACACAGCTACATGGTCATCTTAAGGCCCTTGAACACCACAGAGCCCATTTGCCCCAACCCCTGCTTTTCCAGACAAAGGCATAAACCCATTAAGACCAGGAGCTTTGTCAGGGCCCATCACACAGCAGGTGGAGGGCGCCTTTTTGGATGGTATGGCCTGGGGTAGGGGCAGTTTAAACTCGATGTGCCATTGTACACACATTCTTGCCCTGTGTCTGGCAGGCAGGATAGAAGCCTGGGGGTGGGGTGTTGAGGGGTTCTGGAGCATGGTTACCACAGAACAAGAAGGGGTGAATTTTTCTGAGAGTTATTAAAAAAAAAAAAAAAAGGTGATTTCGTTGAGGAAGGAGTGTCTTCCCAGAGTCCAAGTCCAAGCCTGTCAGTAGTGATTTTAGTGAGAGGGCTATGGCAGGTTCTCCAAGATCCACCACGGGAAATCCCTTTTGCAGTCACTTCCTTTCCCAGCTTCCCAAATCCCTGACCTTAGGACCAACCAACCTGTCCCCAGGAAGTGGGGGGAGGGGGCAAGTTGGCCATAGAACCAAACCCCTGCAGGAGGAGGGGGCTCAAGGCTACTCTCTCTACTCTGGGAGGCACGGCATCCTTACCCCTCATCGTCGAATGGCTGAACAGGTGGTTACAGTCTTGGGTCTTTTTATAATCTCTCCATCCCCAGAGGGAACAGGTGGGATAAGGAAACAGCAGGTCCACCAAGAGCAACCAGGGCAGCAGAGGCAGACCGTACAGCTCCTGCATTCAGTCCCAACACCGAAGCTTCACTGGTCCCCCTGGGAACAAGAGCTTCAATCTCTTTGAGCCTGTCCTCTAGAGAAAGGAGGTGACAAAAATCCTTCTTCCCATACCACAGTGAAGATTGAGGAAAGTGATTCTAGAAGGTTTGAGGCACATAGCAGGTGTACAAGAAATGTGTTTCCTTCCCCTTAGAGGCAGGATTGCAATCTTTTCACCCCAGAGAGACATGGTTTCTAGGCAAGACTAACTCCAGCAGGTCTGCGCTTTCTGTTCTCTAGTTAGCAGCTTTTGCAAAGCAACACAGCATTTATTCCAAGTTACAGCTGCTAACCCCTTAACCTTCCAACCGGTACTGTGTATCTCGGAATCACCCTGTGTGCCCATGAAAAAGACACGCTCTTGTCAACAAAATCACTGCCATTAACTCTCAGGTACATAAAAAAGCCTTTTGAAGGGAAACTGTCCAGTCCTTATATTTGTCTTTCAAATAAAAAACGGGGAGGGTGACGGCAGCAATGTACATGGCCTGCTAGCTTTAAAGTTTACCTGGCATTGATTTCCCTTGGGTCCCTACCCCTCCCACGGCCCCCTTCCTGTCATCTAATCACCTCTCACCTCCCTGCGAAGCCTTGGTGAACCTCCAACTCCCTCTTGCTCCTGTCTGCCCAGGGAGGATAGCTGGTTCTCACGGAGCTATTGACAAAGCCAGGTGTCGGTGGCTGCTCCACTTCCCCACCTGCCTGGCGATTCTTTCCAATTAAAAAAAAAAAGCCATTGGAAGTGCTTTTACTGTAAATATTTGAAGAGTGTGTTGGGGGGCGGGCGGTGTGAAATCTGGTTTCTCACTCCACTGCTTTGCCCAGTCAGGGATCCTCCTCTCTCTAGAGCTTGAAGGATGCTGCTACAGCAGCAGAAAGAAAGAGAGAGAGGCTGTTTTCCCTCCTCCCTGCCTGGGCTGGCCGGTAGCAGCGGCCGCGTCTCCGGCTGACTCCTGACCCTTGTCCGCTTTCCCAAGCAGAGAGGATGAGCTTTGCGCGGACGACCTGCTCAATGGCTCGTGGACCACTTCTCCAAACCAACGTGGGGTCCTGCCCTGTCTTCTTGTCCGGGCGAAGATTCGTGGAAGCCAAACTTAACGCCGCCCCCCCACACACACACATTTACACCCACCCCCGACACACACACCTGAAATAAAGGGACTTCCCAGAGCAGATAAGAAGGTTCGACCTGCAGCGGGGTTGGTGGCTGGGACACGCCGCCCCAGCTGCGCTCTGGACACCCAGGGAGAGCTTGGGAAACGGGAAAGCGCTTCGGAGAGCTGCGCTCTGCGCTCACTTAGAGGAACGTGGAACCACCAGGCTCCCCGAGACAGGCTCAAATGCCAAGGGGCACGCAAGCCCGGAGCGGAACCCGAGGCCTGGACTGGAGCCGCGACAGAGTGCTCGCGGGGACCCAGCGTCGCCGGCACCCACGGAGGGCGAGATGGCTACCCTCGGTGGAGTCTCCCAACCCTGTGCGCGTCCTGTCCACCGCGGCTCCGCACCCTGGGCTGCTTAGGACCTCGCGGCGCATGGGCGGGGCGGTAGGCGGCCAGGACTGTGACAGGTGCGCCCCTCGGCCAATGGCGGGGCCGACGCCCCTCCCCGGGCTCCCGCAGCGCGCGCCAATGGGAGGCCGCGTTGAGCTTCAAGTGCGCGGAGGGGCGCGGGTCCCCACCACCGCGCCAGCGGCCTCGGCGCGGTTGCCTGCGGGCTGGGGCGCGCGGAAAGCTGGCTCGGCTGCCCGGACGCGCCGAAGCGCTCGCGTGGGCGTTTGTGCCAGCGAGGGCGAGCGTGTGTGAGCTCGGCCTGGGGCGGGGCCGCACGGAGGAGGCGCGGACCATGGTCGCCCTCGGCTGAGTTTCCGGCGGCGACTTTGATTATTGGCAAATAATCACTAACAATACCCGGCCCGCGCGGGCTTGCCACCGCCACGCAGACTCAGCCAGTCCGCACACGCGGCCGCATCACCTACCACTGGGCCCTGCTCTCCAGCCCCAAACGAGCCGATGGAAAAATCCAAAAATTTCCGCATCGACGCTCTGCTGGCGGTGGACCCCCCGCGAGCCACCTCCGCGCAGAACTCGCCGCTGGCCTTGGTCACCTCGCTCGCGGCCGCAGCAACTGGCGCCGGCGGCGGCGGCGGGACGAGCAGCGGGGCGAGCGGCAGCTGCAGCCCCGCGTCCTCGGAGCCGCCCGCGGCTCCAGCCGACCGTCTGCGGGCCGAGAGCCCGTCGCCGCCGCGCCTCTTGGCCGCACACTGCGCGCTGCTGCCCAAGCCCGGCTTCCTGGGCGCGAGCGGCGGCGGTGGTGGCGGCGGCAGCGCGGGCGGCGGACCCGGGGGTCCCCACCACCACTCGCACCCGGGCGCCGCGGCTGCTGCCGCCGCCGCCGCCGCTGCCGCCGCCGCGGCGGGCAGCCTGGCTCTGGGGCTACACCCGGGGGGCGCGCAGGGCGGCGCGGGCCTCCCGGCGCAGGCGGCACTCTACGGCCACCCGGTGTACGGCTACTCGGCGGCGGCGGCGGCGGCCGCGCTGGCGGGCCAGCACCCGGCGCTGTCCTACTCGTACCCGCAGGTGCAGGGCGCGCACCCTGCGCACCCCGCCGACCCCATCAAATTGGGCGCCGGCACCTTCCAGCTGGACCAGTGGCTGCGCGCGTCCACCGCGGGCATGATCCTGCCCAAGATGCCCGACTTCAACTGTGAGTACCCTCGCGCCCCGGGGCCCGTGGCAGGCGGTCCTCCCGCGCATCCTCCTCCGCCTGTCTGTGTGCTTGCTCTGCTCGGAGCGCGCGGCTGAAGCGCCTCGGAGCCGCCTCGGCTCTGCCCCAGGCCCGCGAGAACCAGCGCGGGCTCCGCGGCGGGAGAGTGGCCGAGAATTATTAAAATGGCCTCGCGCAGGCCTTGCCGTCTCTTCCTTTCTTAACGGGAAAGGGCAGCTGGAGGTGTGAGACTGAAATCTAATGATTAACCTGCAGGCTGGAGGAGGAGGAGGAAGAGGAGGAAGTGGCGGAGGAAGGCGAGTCGAAAATCGCCCAGAATTAGGCAGGCTTGGTAATGGGGGGCTGGATCTCCGAAACCAGGGGTTTACCATCGGGAGAACTGACTTGGCCAGGGTCACCCATCGTGGGCTCTTGGAGAGACCCTCGGCCCTTCGGGGAGTGGGGCGCTGAGAGTGAGAGGGCCAGGAGCAGCGAACGAGAGAAATGGGCTCCGAGAGCCCGAGGCTGCGAGGCTAGGCCCAAGGCAAGCGCCTGGCCCTAGCCAGGGCCCTGCCCTCCTTTGGAAGCGCGCCGGGCGCGAGGTGCGTTGAGCCGAGGGGTGCGGGCACCCGGAGCAGCAGGTGCCAGCGCCGGAATCCGGGACACCAGCTGCGGTAGCGAACCTCCAGGGTGGGAGACAAGGAGGCTGAACCACGCATGACCGAGAATTCCTGGGCGCGCTCAGGCGTCGCAGGCGCGCGCGGAGCTCGGGACGGTCGTTCCGGGGCTCCGACTCTGCCGCCTCGCCCCACCCGGGAACGGCTGCCTTCGAGGCAGGCGGGAGCAGACGATGTAGACGGCTTTGTGCGTGCAGCCGCCCAACACCCAAACAAAGAGACCCCATTGTTTCCGTCTGAGTGGATCTGTTTAGACTGGGGAGATGCAGGCGCGGGAGGGGAACACGGCAAAAAGAAAACAGAAATAAACACTGGCCAGAATTCAGGATTCCTCTGCGAGAGGCCACGGTTGTGACTAAACAGAGAAAAGCTGCGACCCCAGAGGGCTGGAGAAGTCGCAAGCGGGTGTGAAGATCCAGCAGGGGCCCGTGTGCCCTCGGCTACCCCTGGCTTTTCCCAGCTCAGCTCCAAGAAGACCCCAAGGGCCACCCCTCCCTCCTGATGGAGAGTGAGCCCCTGCTGACCGCCCCACACCTTTTTCTGGGGCCACAGCTTCAGAGATCTCTGATTCTGTTAATCCCTTTGGCCAAACTCAGGTGCCCGGCCCTGCCAGCCGCTTCTGGTGGAAAGCCACTCCCGCAGAATTCCATGGTAGCCTGCCTTCCCCAGCCCGAGGAACCCTTGGTGGACCCCCGAGAAGGGCTGACCTGCCCGGGGAGGCCTCCTAGAACTTTGGGCTCCCTGGCCACCCCAGAGCTTTGCCTGGCCTTCCTGGAGCCAATGGACACACAGAAAATTGATGCAAGCGGGGTTCCTCTGCCTACACCCATCTCCTGATGCCTAATCTGATCTGAGAGGCGGCTGAATTGAAAGCAGCCAGCTTTAGCCCCCAAACGAGGACGCTGCACCCCCGTCCGAAAGGGCAGAGCAGGCAAAGATGGTGGCAATGTTCTAGAAGCCCTCTTCTCCACGAGCCGGAAAACCTGTTTGGTTCCCTTTAATAGGTCGTCTCTGCCTGTTGGATGGTATTTCCCAAACAGTCCCTTCCGAGCCGGTATTTTAATTAAAGTTCTAATGTATTGTCAAGTTGGGAATTCGGGGCCTTGTTTAACTAAAGCAGGGGGCGTGGGCCTTCCTATAAAGCAAATTGCCCGTCCCGGGGGAGCCTGAGCTCATCCCGGCCTGGGGCTGGCCTCTTTTCTTCCCTTTGCTTTCTTTCTTTTATTGTCGAACACTTGTCAGACTCCTGGGAAATCAAGGGAAGTCTCGTTTTGAGGTCATAAAATTCTCTGTGATGTAACCGTGCGAAATTATGTAAATAAAGCAGGGCAGGCCTCCTTGAACACACAGAAAGCCAGACCCGCCTCCTCCTGGCCTGTAATTTGGGTAATGAGAATTGTCCTGAAAAGACTTCCACCCCTGACCCCTCCCTGTTCTTCCCTCCCCCACCCCTACCCCCCCCACCCCCCAGGCTCTGCCCTCCGGCACTGAGCCGGGGCTCCTCGCTCAGGAAAACAATTTGCAATGCCAGAGGGTCCCGGAGGAAAATGTCATTAGGGTCCGGAATTGGTCTCCGTCCCCACATTATTTCCTTCTCTACCCCACTGCCTTCTCTTTTTCTCCTGATCCCCCTTTTCTGTTTTAAGGAGGCGGTAGTGGGGGTCCAGGTGGTGGTGGAGATCCCACACCTGTTGGGGTTTGCGCCTGAGCTGGGGAAAGTTCAGTGCGGAGCGGAGAGGAAGTTCAGTCCCTGTGGTCACTACTCCTCCTGTCTTAGGTCCAACCCTTTTCCCCCACACTCCCGTGGAGCCGGTCCCCCTGCCCTGGGGCCTCTGGGGGCCGTGACCCAGCAGCCAGGGGAGGGAGTGGGCGGAGGATCGGAGCTGGCCGCCGGCCTCACTCACACCTTCTCGCGTCCCCAGCCCAGGCGCAGTCGAACCTCCTGGGGAAGTGCCGCCGGCCCCGAACCGCATTCACCAGCCAGCAGCTGCTGGAGCTGGAGCACCAGTTCAAACTCAACAAGTACCTGTCGCGGCCCAAGCGCTTCGAGGTGGCCACCTCGCTGATGCTCACCGAGACTCAGGTGGGCGGCCCGGGATCCTGACCCCCCCACCCCACCCCGCGACGCTGTCACCTCCGCGCTCCTGACCCTCGGGCTGTCCCCCGACCAGAGGTCCCGTCTGGTGCTGTGGCTGTGGACCCCTAAGGTGATGCTCAGAAAGTCTGCTGTGTCGTGTGCCAGGGTTCACACACCCGCACCCAGAGCTCCGATCCTGTAGGTTCAGACGTTTTTGCATTTAACGAACCCGCGTGGGCCACAGTCAAGAAATTTGGTTCCAAAAAGAGACGTCCCCAGCTGCCCCCCGGCCCTCCCTCCGCAGACCAAGTCACGAGCCCGGCGAGTCCTAGGAGGCCCCTGCCCGGCTGTGAGGCCTGCAGACGGGTAGGGGCAGGGAGGAGAGGAGGAAGCGACGAGCCCCCTGCCCCCCACCCCACCTCATTCGGCGTCTGAGCCTTGTCGTCGGACGCGGATCCCCGGGGCCCGCATGGGGCGGCCGGGTTCAGGGTGCCCGCAGCCCGGCCTCTCGGGACGGAGGTGGCGGCTCTCTCACGCCCGCTTGTGCCCGCAGGTGAAGATCTGGTTCCAGAATCGGCGGATGAAGTGGAAACGCAGCAAGAAGGCCAAAGAACAAGCGGCTCAGGAGGCGGAGAAGCAAAAGGGCGGCGGCGCGGGCAAAGGCGGCGGCGGCGGCGGTGGCGCCGAGGAGAAGGCAGAGGAGGAGCCGCTGGGGCCGCCAGCGCCCGGGGACAAGGCCAGCGGACGCCGCCTGCGGGACTTGAGGGACAGTGACCCCGACGAGGACGACGACGAAGACGACGACGACCATTTCCCCTACAGCAACGGCGCCGGCGCCCACGTCGCCTCCTCCGACTGCTCCTCGGAGGACGACTCGCCGCCCCCGCGGCCAGGCGCGCCCCCGGCCCAGTAGGAGCCCCGCACCGCCCTGGCCAGGGGCCGCACCAGGCTTGGATCCCACGTCCCGGGTTGTGAGCGACCCTAAGCCGCCTTCCTCCGGACCATCTGCAGAGGCCAGGGGGTTGGAAGAGTCCGGCCCGGGCCTCAGGTCCTGGGAGGCTGGCCTTTTGGGACAGCCCTGGCAGGTGCCCTGGCCTGCCCTTCAAGGGACACGCGGAAGATGACCCAGCGGGCTCAAACTCCAACTCCCGTCCTATTCGATTTAATTGTGGTTAGTGTCCAGGGGATGCGTCGCTCCTCCCTCTTCCCCGCGGCTAGGAAGGTGGAAGAACCCACAGTGTTAAACGGCCTGGAAGACTTGAACCGTCCTCTGCAAACGCGTTCTTCCCGGGCTGGGAGAAAAAAAAAGGGGGGGTTGATGCTTCTGTATCTTGGGGGGAGGGAGGGAATTTAAGAGCGTTCAAATCGCTGGAAATTGCAGAACTATACTATCTTTATTTTTGTATATTGTATTTATATATGAGGATATATATATATATAAAGAAATATCTACGTATGCATGCTAAATTATTATTTAGCTTCTCCCATCGCCCAGGATGGAATGTAAAATAAATTGGTTTTTTACTGGACGAGAGTACACGTCTTTTCCGGGAAAGTCGACTTGGTTGTTTTGGTTGTTGAAATGATGGGGAGGATCGCTTTCCCTCGGTTGAGGGTGAAAATCAGACTCGCACGTGGAGCCTGTGGTGGAACCTGACTCCTGGTCCTGCAGAGTCGCAGGTGTGAAATGCTAAAAATACCTGAGGCCAGATGGCATCGCGTGCGGGCGCTGGGCTCGCACCCATCCTGGACAAAGACACTTCAAGGCCTAGACTTAGCATCTGGGTCCGGGGGACCGAAGAAGGCGCTACTTCCATTTCCCGGAATGGACTCCATTGCGCCATCCTCCTCCTCCCTGGCCTCTCTGCCAGCCGGCCCTTCCTTGAGCTGGCCAGGACCGGTGTTCTCGAATCTGTGCGAATGTCCGCGAGGGCAGCCGTGGGCAGCAAGAACCCTCCACGCCAGGCTGCGTGACTCCGGGTTAATAAACCTCGGCAGCGCGCGCGCCATCAATCACCGCGCTGGCCAGGGCCTGGCTCCCGCCATGTGCTGCACACATGCCGGGCTCCGCGCGCAGCCGGCCGGCTCCCGCCCGGCCTGGGGCGTCCCCTGGCTCCCTGCTGCCCCCCACTTCCGACTCGGCGACCTCTAAGCCGCCCGGAGGAGCCAGGTGTCCGGGGTGGCCGCTTCTCCCTCTTCCTTCGGGGTTACTTTTAAACCAGCACCTGGGCGTGGGCCGCGCTGCTCCCCCCTCTTCCTGCCCGCTGATAAATGAGTTCAGAAGGGCCTGGCGTTTCATTTGGGTGATTACCGCCGGGCGAGCGCGGCCCCTCCTCTGCCGCGGGGCCCGGGTGAGATTAATATCCTCTCTGGCAGCTCATTATCACCCCGGGCTCCTTCCATAAAATCCAACCTCAACCAGGGCCGGGGGCGCGGCTGTTGGAAGCTCACGCGGAAGCTACAGGGCACCGGCGCAGGCCCTGGGCCGCCTGGAGTCCAAAGCTGCATTGGGAGAACCGGGCCAGGTTTGCAGCTGGCGGAGAAGGCAGAGGGCTGGGACAAGGGGGAGGGAACGTTGGAAGGGAGGGGAGGAGAGAGGGAGGACAGATGTCTTTTAGGGGCTGAAAAACCACAATCCATGGACTTCTTGTAATTTCTAACACATTGGCGAGGCTGAGCCTGAAACAATCTCTTCTCTTGCTGGCTGCACATCTGGGGGTGCTTTCACCCCCAATCTCAGCAGGCCTTTCTCAGGGGTCCCACCCCAAAACAGCCAGGGAAGGGGATGGCCCGGGTCTGGGCATTGGGACCTGGAATTTGGGCGGGCTAGGGGGGTAAGGGACGCTTCCTACCAACAGGGGACAAATACTCCCTCTGGGACAAAAACCAAGGAAGACATAAATATTGCCCCCTGCCCAGGCCTGGGCTTGGCGCGGGGACTCAGGCCCCAGGAAAGCTGGACCTATTGCGGCCCCGGCATCTCCAGCCAGCTGCTTAATCGCAGCGGAATTTATCTTGCTAATAAATTTAATGATCAATTCGTTCTTGTCACAGGAGCTCTTCCCCAAATCAATTATAGCAAATTTAAATATAATCACTGGCTCATCCTCACCCACTCCGGGCACCGGGAACAATTCATTCCACCTAATGAATGGTCTCCAGGCCCACTCCCCGCCTCAGCCTGCACCCCCAATCTGGGGCGCTGTGCTCGGTGGGGATCACCAACTCCGCTCTGCCGGGAGCAAGAGTCGACCTCCCACTGCACCCGAACCTCAGCATGACCCCAGCCTAGGGGGAGCCAGCCAGGTCTACGCAGTCGGAGCCCAACGCGAATTCAAGGTATGGTTTTGGTTCTAGACTTCTCCTGCCGTGCTCTCGGTGGGAAGTCCTTGGTGCCAATGCTAGTGTATTTCTCCACCCTAAGCAGGAGCCAGACCACACAGTTATGACCCTGCTGCCACCTCAGGACTGGATGCCCACGGCGGGGGGAGGGGCACCCACAAAACTGACCAGGTCCCCTGGGAAACCCGGCCCAGTCTCCCTGCCCTACCCAGGGTCTGGCTTTCTGGCACTCGTTTGAATTCTCAGGAGAGGTTCTCCTACATTCTCAAGAGAGGAACACTTTGCACTTGTCTCCAGTGTGTGAATAAAGCCCCTTTTTGTGTGTGTGTGTACCAAGGAAAAACGACCTGTTTGCATCCTTCAACATGACGGCCCTGGGTCACTCTCCGGCCCCTTCTGGAGCTCTGGCCACGGGGTGAGATGCCACGGACAAGACATCTGCTGAATCAGAGAGGGGCATGTATAGAAACAACTAAAAAGTAGATGCCTTTTCCTTCCGTTACGGACTTTCTCCTGCCCAGTCCTCAGATGGAAATCGGAGCAAAAAGAACATAGGAGGCTTTCTGTGATACCAAAAGCATAGGCAACAAAAATTTAAAAATGACAAATGGGACTCCATTAAACTGAAAACCTTCCATGCCACAGGAGACACAGAGTGCAAAGGCAACCTATGAAAAGGAGAAAATATTTGCAAATATTTCTGAAGAAGACAAAGCAGTGGTCTAGGAGCAGGGACAGTCAAATGAAAACCACAGGAAAGCGCCTCACACAGGTTAGGATGGCCGATATAAAACAAAGGACACACACAACAAAGGGTTAGTGAGGATGTGGAGAGATTTCAGCCCTGTGCACTGTTGGTGGGACTGTAAAATGGTGCAACCAATACGGGGAAATGATATGGAGGTGCCTCCAAAAATTAAAATGGAATTACCCGGTGATCCAGTAGCCTGGTCTTGAGTATATATGTGAAAGGATGTATTTGCACACCCATAATTATTACAGAATTATTCACAGTAGCCAAGGGACAAACTACATGTCCATCAGCAGTCGAATGGATAAGCAAAATGGGAATCTACCTATTGAAAAAACAAACACTGGATCAGGCAGGTGCGGCAGGCTGTATGGAACCTGGTTCCCGTCCTGGCTGCTCCACTTCCCATCCAGCTCCTCGCTAATGTGCCTGGGAAGGTGCAGATGCTGGCTCAAGGGCTTGGGCCCCTGCACCCACGTGGGAGGCTCCGAGGGAGTTCCTGGCTCCTGGCCCAGCCCAGGTGTTGTGGCCATTTGGAGAGTGAACCAGCAGATGCAAGGTGTGACTCTCTCTCTCCCTCTGCCACTCCATATCACCCCGCCTTTCAAATAAAGAAATCTTTAATAAAAAGACAAACACTGCATGATCCCACCTACGTGAGGTATCCTAAGTCAAGGTTCAGAAACAGGAAGTAGAAGCCTGTGGGTCCAGGGCCTGAAGAGGGAGTTGGTGCTCAGTGGGTTTGGAAAGATGATCAGGCTCTCAAGCTGGCTGGCTTATCAATGTGCCTGTGTTAACACGAACGTAGTGTACACTGAAATTTAGTACACTATTTAGTATACTAAAAATGCTTAGGATGGTGTGGATTTGCTGTCCTCTTTCCAGCCCTCCTGCCCTCACTCCCTCCCCACTTCTCGCCCGTGGCGGGTTCCCAGGCTGCCAGCAGCCGTTGGGTCAATTTGGGCCAGATTGGTTCTGCGGAGCACCTCCCAGGTTGGTGCGTTATCTGCCCCTCGGGCGGGCTTCCGCTGTCCCACAGCGGCGGGGGGCAGTCCTCAGTCCCCGTCTCAGGCCTGGGTCCGGACCCAGATCCAGGGGCTGCCTGCTGGGGGACCCCAGGGCGGAGAGAAGCCCCTGGAGGGGTTGCGGTGCCTGCTGTGGGACGGGGCTGGGGCGACGCGGAGAGCTCCCCGCAGGACCCGGGGCGCTCCCTCCAACCCCCCAGTTTCAAAGTCCTACGGTGTATTGTGTCTCCCTCAATAAAACTAATCCCTTCGGAGGTGTGACCTCCACCAAGAATGCCACAGTGTTCCATACTACAAGGGCAAATATGTTTTTCAGATTTGGTTTTTATGGTCGGATTAAAGTTTATTTTCCATAATAGGGCACCTAATAAAACTCACAAAGCCGGGTCGGGCCTCCAGCTGGTGGCCTCGTTTAACACTTTCACTTCGTAAATCACTTCGCGACGTGCCAGGTGTGCGCGCCCTGGCCGTTCGCGGTCCCGGAGCCCCGGCTGGCGCTGGGGGCGCAGGGGCGGCCTCGCCAGGGCTCGGGGGGCCTCCACGCGAGCGAGCCAAGGGGACCCCGCAGGCCACGCCGCGGGGCGGGAGCCCTGGCCTGGAGCGCCCCCGCCTCCCACGGCCCGCCCCCCGGCCCCGCGCCGACCCCGCATTCCGCGGTCTGCGCACCTGGCCGCCCCCTCCCCCGTGTACACACGGAACCTGACAATACGCGCTCCTCCGAGCCATTGTCCCGGGCGCTCGCTCGGGGCTGGACAAAGGGGGAGCCCCCAGCGCGGGCGGCCGCGGCCAGGGCGGGGGGCGCGGTTTACCCAGCTGGGGGCAGGAACAAAGGCCTTATCTCGGCCGCGGGGGCGGCGGCGGGGCCCGCCGCGAGGACCCGGGCGCAGCGCGCGGCCGGCCGGGGTCAGGCGCGGGGCGCGGGGCGGGGGTCCGGGGGCGGGGCGGCTCGTCCGGGAGCCACCTGAGCAGGTGTCCTCGCCTGCAGGCGTGCGCTGAGCCCGGGGGCGCCTCGCGGGGCCGCTCGGGCTGCCGGTCTCCCGGGCTGCGTTCTGCGAGTCCCGCAGACGACACACACGGAGGAAGTGAGGAATAAGGGTTTTCCCCAAGCCGGGCAGCAGTACTGCGGTGGTTGGTCGCAGTTCATCTCCCTCCCCCCTCTTTTTTTTTTTTATTTTTAATTTTAAGACCTGTAGTTTTTGTATTTGTTGTATTTTATCATTTTAGTCCATCTTCTCGGTAATATCCTTTCTTCCAAGCATAACATAAATTTCTATGCTGAAATTTAAAGAGTAAGGCTCAGTTGTGGGCAGGGGAGATACTGGGGAGAGGGCGCCAGCCCACTCTGGCGTCCTGCAGGACCCCTTGGCAGAGGCCACCCGGCGCGCAGCGGCTCTGGGTA